TTTCTTCCTTTTTTTTGTTTTTAACACAAAAGCAAACGTGATAAAAGAAAAAAAAATTAGTTCAAATCATCATTATTATTATTATTATTATTATTATTATTATTATTATTATTTTTATTATTATTATTCTTTGTACAAGTGCCACGAAATTTGACATTTCCGGTATTTTCCTTTTTTCCTTTCTAAGTAAAAAAAAAAATATTTACTTACTTAAAAGTATATTTTTATTTTTATTTTTTTTTCAGGTTGTCTTTTTCCATTTGAACACTTGAAATACTTTTTTCCTTTTTTTAAAGAAAACCACTTCCTTCATTTTTTTTCTTTATTATTTATCTTCCGGTATTTACTTCCGGTTTAATTTCCCCTTCTCTTCTCTCTCCACTTCCTTCTCCCACTTCGACAAATAAGCTTTTTTTGGCTTAATAAAATTTTATAACAAATAAAAATTTAAATTTAAATTAAAAAATAATAAATAATAATAATAATTTTCGAATTTTAATTCCAAAATATAATAATAATAATAATATAAATGATAATAATAATTCCAAAAGTAAACTGGAATTTAAAAAAAATACTGGAGAATAAAAATTCCATGGTGAAATTTTTTTTGTTGCTGTTTTTAAAATTTTATCACTCGACAACTCACTAATTTACTTAAACCATATTTTTTTTTTTATTAATTAATTTTTTATTTTAATGAAAATGATAATGATAATGATAATAATGATAATTTTGAATTCATTCATTCATTTTTTTAAACGTTTTTTCAGCGGGCATAAAAAAACAATTCGATTCGTTAATTTATTTGACATTTCATAAAAAACCAAACGTATATTTTTTTCTTATCAACCTTGTTTCGGCCCATTGAAATTTTTAAATATGACGTCATGTATCACAAAATGTTTAAAAAAAATTTTCAGTAAGGGAGAAAATTCTGGCAAATTTTTTTTATGTTTATCACAATAATAATGATAATTAGAATCGAGTAAATAATAATTCGAGTGTAATTTTATAAAATTAAAATTTTTTTTTTCTTTTTAATCTTGAGTTTAATCCTTATCGAAATTCTTATGTTACGGGATGAGGAAGAGGGAGAAGGGGGAAGGAGGAAGGAGGAAGGGAAGGTGGTTTAAACGACGAAAAAAAAAAAAAAAACGTTTCAACGCGTAAGTTTTTATCTTATTCGGTACGGAGAACATTTTTCAAATTTATAAAAGTAACTGTCTGCGTGGTAACGATAATTTTACTTGTTCTTATAATAACCAACCAAACGGAAACGTCTAACATTTGACATTTACAACTTGTTGAAATACATTTTTTTTTTTGTTTTCCACAGTTTTTGACAAAAAAAAAAGTCACGAAGCTCAAAAATTCTTACGAGAATTTATTTTTTTTTTATTTGTTTCTCCCCTTTTCCCTTTCCCCACCACATCTTTACTCTCCTCTATCCCTCCCTCTTTTCCCTTTCGTCAAGCGTTAAAAATTATTAATAATAATAATAATAATTTATTTTTTATTTCCTGAAACGTCCGAGGGGTAGAGGAGGAAGAGGAGGAGTAGGAGGAAGAGACGAGAGAACAGACGAATGCTTTTAAAATGATAATTATATTTCTTTTTGTAATTTTCCTTTTTTTTCCCTTTTTTTTTCTTTTTATATACCTTTGATGAATTCGAAGAATAAAAAAAAAATTTCTTTTTCTTCATAATTATCATCATCATCATCATTATCATTATCTTTCTATTATTATTATTATTATTATTTTAAAAAAATAAAAACTTTTTTTTTTTATTTTTTCCCTGTTTACCACACCATATTTTATACAAATAAAAAAAAAATATAAACGCCATTTTTTTTTCAATGTTTTAATAATAATAATAATAATAATAATAATAATAATAATAATAATGAAAAATTCTCAAAAAAAGGAAAAGTTTTTATTATTATTATTATATTATTATTAAAATATTGCGAATCGTTGTTAATTAATTAAAAAAAAAAAAAACTCGTAGAATAAAAAAATGAATTTATTTCATCAATAAATGGCTCCGATTGTATTTTACATAATTAAATAATAATAATAATAATTAATATACGGTTAAGAATTGTTATTTGATAAAAACGAAAAAATTTTTAAACGTTCGCCATTTTGTTTTTCTAGACCGTTGATGTTGAATGAAATTTATTAAAAAAAAAAAAAAAACAAATGAAAAAATAAAACCGCACCTGCATGAAAATTAAATATTCATTAACAACATTGTTTTTGTTTAAAAA